GGATGTGCTCCTCCGGTGCAGCTTCCTCCTGGCCAGGGAAGAGCCGGCGAGGACGGAGCCTGGGCGAAGGATCCAGCGGGTTCAGGTCGCGCTGCGTTGGCAGGCGGGGAGAGCTTTCCCTGTTGAATGTGCGCCCGCTTCTCACCAAGCAGGTTTGCTGCCCTCCGTTAACGAAATTTCCAGGACGCAGGCTGTGTTAAACCACACCAGGTAAAGCCTAATCCTACCAGGCTCCTAATTTGGGGCCAGGATGGACCAGCATAGCCGTCTGCATCGGTTATCCCTTCTTCCCGGTTTGCATCCTCCTTACAAGCACCCTGCAGGGTGAAATACACAAAGACGCTGCCGTACAGTTTTCATGGGAGTAACACTGAAGTGGCTTGGCACGGTTTTCTTCATTTCTCAACAGCCTTGGGATCACCTGGTGGTCCCCCCTCCAACCACCAACGTGGCTGAGATTTCTTTGAGAACAGCTAGGTCCTGCCTCCTCACTCTTGCTCAAGAAATGTCTCCTTTGAGTCAGGGGGACTCGTGGTGGTCTTGCCTTGAACTTTCAGCAGCTGCGTGCACGTGGTTTGCCGTTGTTATTTTCCAGGGTAGTTTTTAAGCTGAGTCCAGCCTGAGGCTTCCTGGTAGTGCCCCATGCAAGTCCGACTTTCTTTAGCTTTTTAAGATGGGCTAGCTCAGTGTTTCTCAACCTTGGCAATTTTAAGATGTGTGGACTCTAACTCCCAGAATTCCTCCGCTGGCTGGGGAATTCTGGGAGTTGAAGTCTACCTGTCTTAAGGTTGCCAAGGTTGAGAAACACTGAATTAGACTGACTTGTTTCTGTTTTGTGAGTGATGGAATACTGTGGCCGCTTTTCCTATCTTCCCTCTTGCTTCGGTTGTGGATTTATTCCTTTTTTGCCCTGGCATGTGACAAACAGCATTTTGCATCCTGGTGATCCACTGACACTGAAGGAGGCTTTCTTTTTGCCGGAGTGCCCCGGTTACCCATCGCTGCAAATCCTGGCAGAGCTCAGGGCATGCGTGGCAGAGCGGGGGAGAGGGCCATCGGTGAGTGGGGCAGGAGGGGTGTTTTTCCCTCCTTCCTTCCCTGCTCTATCAGCCATCCTTGGGTCTGCCCCCGATGCCTCCAGCCTTCCGGCCTTCTCCGACCGATCACGGCCCCCAAAGTAGCCCCTTTTCCTTTCTGGTGGGCACCGATGCTGCCAGCCTTGTTCCCAAAGCCTGTGGAGCAATGCTACGATGGCAGCAGTTTCAGTATTGATAGTCTTTGCCCATCTATGTGGATCCCAAACATTGCAGGGCCCTCCCCAGCCTCCAAATTTGCATGTCATTATAATTAAATTATTTGAAAACAGATCAGCTAAAGATCAACCTACCTGGGAGTCAAGTTCCGCTCCTGACTTCAAACATCCGTGGAGATTTCTCAGCAGCCATTTCAAACTAGCTTGTGCTTGTCTTTAGCTGGGCTGCTTTTGAGATTCCCCGTCAGCCAAACGCTGTGGGATTTCCTTGTGGTCTCCTTTCCAACCATTAACCAGGCCTGGTGCAGTTCAGCTTCTGTTCAGAGTCCGCCAAAGGCTGGCTAGCTGTCTGTCGCTCCTGGGTATTGTGGTGGTGGTTATTCTTATTTATTATGTTTGTTATAGTCGCCTTACTCCAAAAGTTTCTGGGCGGCTACAACATCATTCCCCCCTTCTTTCATATTAAAAGGTTCAACGGGTTGGCAACTTTGGACAGGGGGGTCTGGGAGGGGGTCACCTTGCCGCTGCCCAGGCCTGAGCGGACTTCCAAGGGGCCTCTCTCTCTTCTTGCACAGGTGGATGGCCAAAGGAGGCTTGGCTGGCGGTGCCCTTTACGTGGTTTACTCCCAGGGGCTGCTGAGCGGCAGTGATCAGGGTGCCCGAGCTCTCGGTAAAGTCAAAGCAGCTGTTCCTCCAGCTGTGGAAGAATGGACAACGTATTTCGGCTGGCAGGTGAGCCCAGAGCATCGCGTCGGTTCATCATCTGGCCTGACACAGGTCGTGGAATCAGCTCAGGGCCTGCTGATCTAGGAGTGGGGTCTTCAAAGTGGGGTGCACCCACTGCCAGGGTTTGCAAGATGATCCATTGGAGTATAGGAAGAAAATATTAGAATATTGTTCCTTTGCCCTTTAACTCATCCTTCTTTAATTTTTAATTTGGAGGGTGTTATATAGGTAGTCCTCAGTTAACAATGGCAGTTGGGACCAACATTTCTGTTGCTGAGCGATGCGGTCATAAAGTGGGACGTCACGTGACTGCATCGCTTAGCAGCAGCAGTTCTGGCACTTCTGGTTGCCGTTCTTAAGCGGATCCTGTGCCGTCTTTAAGTGTGATGTCACGTGGTTACCATTTGCGATTTCCTGCTGGCTTCCTCATGGATTTTACTTGTGGGAAGCCAGCAGGGAAAGTCACAAACCATGTTCACGTGATCGTGGAATGCTGCGACGGTGGGAAATCCAGGCTGGTTGCAGAGTCACCCTGATTGCAATCATTTGACTGCAAGGATGCCGCGCTGGCTGGAACTTCAAGGACCGGTTGTAAGTCCCCCTCGTTCAGCGCCGTCATAAGTTTGAACAGTCGCTGAACAAGTGGTTGTTAACCGAGGACTCCCTGTAATGCCCTGTCAGCCCCACTAGGTGGACCAAACTAGCCCCTTTTGCCTAGGGAACAGATCCTGCATATTTCCGTCACCTTACTCTACATCAGTGTTTCTCAACCTTAGCCACTTTAAGATGTGTGGACTTCAATTCCCAGAATTCCCTAGCCAGCCATGCTGGCTGGGGAA